TCCCTTGCGTAAAACTCAAGATTAGAACTTAAGCCTTAAGTATTTATGTTAATTAATGGCATTGAAGCGTGAAAATGGAAGTTACATGCCTGTAGCTCAAGTGAGGATTATGCCCAATCTCACGTTTTTTAGTACAAACAAATAAAAACATATATTTTTTTCACGCACGTCAGCCTGTCAAACCAGCTCTTTGAAAATGTCATTTAAAAACTCAACCAAAATCTGCTTTCAAAAATATAGATTATTCTACTAATTTACTATACAGACAAATGTATTTTTGCCTCCTTATTATACTCGCTTCTCTATAATGGCGACTCAGCATGCAAGGTCCATATAAGGACAATGTTTCATGGGCAGAAAAATTATCAAAATAATACAACTATAGGCTAGTCTATACAGCTATGTCTGTGTTTCCTCAGTCGCCCAGATCTTTTTATTTAGGGTTTAAATTGGATAGACAGGCCCTCCATACTTTAAAATGGTGCATAACATTATGACGTTCGATTTAGTGCAACGTTTAATCGTCCGTGCGCGGTAGATCAATATGGTGAAGATATATTTACACGGAAAATAGAAAACAACGTGAAAATGCCTAGTGTCCAAGAAGTGTAGGCTATTACAATACTACAACCATGTCTGCTGTAAATGAAAGCATGTTGCTTGCATTTGCATTTTTGCAATTATTCAGTTCACAAAATGTAGGCCTAGAACACCTTTACAACAATGGACTAGGTTACTTTGATTAGCATGTATTGTGCACGAATCCTCTTTAGAAAACACAAATAGACTACTATTAGGTCTTTGAGTTGTTTTTCATAAGATAAATGTATCCGAAAGCCTCATTGAGGACTTAGACCTCATTGCGAAAGAGTGGCCCCTCTAATAAAACTGTTCAGCCGCAGACTTGAGGTGAAACGCCCAACCTGTCCCTGCACCAAATGGTGGTGCTTTAGAGATTGCAAATACTGTACAGGGCTGTTTTGACGTCTGGTTCATATTTGAAGAAACTGTTACTATATGGAAAGTATTCATCGATAATTCACCCAATGGTTCGTTGTTAGTGTCTTGTTTTCAGAATACTGATGCCATATTTATGTCCATTATTCACATAAATTAAATCTAAAGTGTAGGGATCCAGCATTTTCATCAGGAAGAAAAGCTATAGGCTAACTATCTTCTCAGTACTGAGGGTTGGGAATATTTTAGAATTAAGCCAAATGGGTCAGGCGCACAAACACACAAGGGGCTAAATGGGAGGCCATGGCAACACGCCATCTCTGCCAAGTGCTCAGGGATGCAATGGGAAATTACATGACATTTGCAAAGGGTTAGTATGCTGAATAATTGCCATTTATTTGTGTATTAGGAATTATTTGTTGTTTTTAAACATTTGTATCATACATGATCAGACAGTTCTTGGATGTAAATAATGAATTGCCATAATAAATAAATAGCGGCATGTCTACGCACACAACCATATTGTGTTGGGCTGTTGGTTACTACTTATCACACTTTTAAGGCCTTATCATTCTCAAATATTCAATACAGAACTCTTAAATTCCAGAGAGCACTTAAATTCCAAGATATGGTTTTGGTTAAAAAAATACAAATTTGGTACACATTTCAAAACGTCCAGGGTTGTTACCCTAATAGTCATATGCATGTCTAGTATCTCTGTTTCTAATCCACACACACAAGTCTGCCTGGCTACATGCACCTTTTTTTTGTATAAAACATTTTGGTGAGGCCTATTCATGTTTGTTGATGCATTATAATTACGCACGACACGTTCTCCTCAATAGCTTTAGTACCTGCATGATATCATACTTATTCCACGATGTAGCCTAATAGTCTAAATTATTATTTCCCAATTGTATAGCCTACTGTATTCGCAAGTAACTCATACCAAATAAAGCTCGTTATTGTATAGATTTTTGGTTTGAGTATGTTTTATGGACAAGTCGTTTGAAATTGAATATATTACAGTTTTCAAAGCATTGGTAATACATTTTATTTTTCCCCCTAGGAAATATTTCACATGAGTTTATTTGCACGTGTACACCACTCTTTCTATTGTTGTCTGTCCTGCGAGTCACTCCCCTTGTTAGTTGCACAATTACGCATAGTTTATATTACTCAGGTTACAAATCAGTTTAGAAACTTACCATTCCTTATTCCTGGATTTGGGTATAGGAAAATGCCTTTTATTTTCGTGGAGAGCCAGAGAACCGTGAAATGCACCGACCCCTTTGTGAAGTCATTATGAGCCTCGACAACTGGGCAGGAAGTTTGACAATAAGGGTTATTAAGGCATTTCCTGCGAATAGTAGCTGCTGTGCGCAAGTACAGTATGTGCCATTAGGCGGAGGCTTTGCACCTCTAGGAGCCAAGGCGCATGGCATCGACGCGGTACGCATGAGACATGACATTGCAGACAAACAGCATAACATATTGCAATCTCATCCTGCACTATTGCACAATTATTCAAGAGTAGTCTCAATATACGTTTGGAAACCGTAGAGCCACGATTTAATTATTAATAAATGATTCTATAAATCATGTATTAATTGAGCATCTAAGGATAGCCTAGTCACTTGCCCTGTGGTCTGTAGGTCTATCTTTGATTGAAATGGAAGAAAGGTGCTGGTTACAAACGTTATATGGTATATGTGTGCCTTGTGTGTTTGTGATGATGACACAGACAGAGGCAACCTTGAATTTGAGCATTTGCTCAGGGATGGGCGGGTCTGGTATGATCGGTGGCGGCCTAAACGGAGCCTTCAGGGAGGGCCAGACTCTTCACTTTAAACTTGGCCTTGACCTTGAGGGCCTATTCTGATCCCTATGTAAAGACTACTGTCTGGGGGTTGTGTGCGCGTGTGTGTTTGTGTGTGTGGTGAGGGTTGGAATGAGTGAGGTGAGGGGGCTGTTGTTGCACTTAAATAATCTGGGTAGAGGCTAAAGATGATGGAGAGAGTCTTTCTGCCTATCCCATTTTTATTTTTTATTTTATTTTATTTCACCTTTATTTAACCAGGCAAACCAGTTGAGAACAAGTTCTCATTTACAACTGCGACCTGGCCAAGATAAAGCAAAGCAGTGCGATAAAAACAACAACACAGAGTTACATAAACACAATGCACAAATCCTGACTAATGAGAAGAATCAGACACTAGTTTAACCTATTTTTATTGTTTGAAACATTTTCATTATAGTTATATTGTTTGAAACATTGTCCATATCGCTGGAACTTGTGCGTCTCTCGCTGACGCAGATCAACCATTAGATGCATAACTGCGCCTTTGAGCTAAAATGTACATTTCGTTACCTGATAGCAATTCCAGAAGCAGATTGACATATGTTTTCATAAAACTAGATAACATCAGGCCTACCTTCAAAATGGCAGAGTCGGACGGGTAAATGACTTTTCATTGCAGCATATAGGCTACTTTTCAGATAAAACACCACTTTTACGCACACGAGCATTTGTACATTTGTGAACATGAGATAGCTTTGAAAAAGCTAGACGAGTAACCAGTAACAATTTACTTATTCATTGTGTTTGCCATGTCGTCCTCTAAAAACTATGTGTAGCGTTTCACGTATGGGCATAGCCTACACAGATTTTCCAAACCATGAGCCACTTCATGGCAGAATGAAAGCGTACTTTGCTTTTTTGAACCACTTCATGTCAGGTTTGTCATATAACACACATTAAACATTTACTTTAGACACATTTAGCTATATCTCGAATAATGGCAATAGGCCTATGCATTTCAGTATAAAATACTCAAATTCATAACTACAGTCATAACCACAGAAATAATGATTACACAAAAAATATTACTCTGAAGTGCCTCAAAACCCCACTAAATCTATTTGAACTTCAGCCGTATTTTAGAAATCTTAAGACCTCCAATCCCGTCCATAAATTATCTTTACGCTTCCTTCAGTAATGTGTTTTTAGCCATGAACATTGAGCATTATATTCTTAAAGCGCACATAAATTACTATTAAACGTCCAAAGCACAGTTATTTTATTAAAAGGTATGCAATCTCATGTTATGCTTAAAGAATACTTTTATGACAACGATAAACTTTCTTCATGCATTTGGCAAGGACGATTATAAGTCTTTAAATATGTCCATAACCATTGGGAAATATTCAGCATTTTACATTAAGGCAAACGGTGTAACATAATCTTTTGGGTTTTGTGGTAAAATCTACATTAATAGTCATTTTGTGTGAAAGTAAAAAAAAATCTGTCTTAACAGTCTCCATTTTGAATGACCATTTCCCTTTGTGAAGCCTATATTATTTTTATGCAATCATTTAACAAAACAAGCAAACACTATTTTTCAAAGTAGGTTACATTATTATTAGACTTTTGTTGGAGTGATTGCCAAAGTGATTCATTCCCAGATTTTCTGCGCATTCAATAGATGTCATAGATAAATAGTCCTCATGCCATCATTGTATGACGTGACTTAACATAGGTTGTCCTTTTCAAGGTATTTGATTTAGATATCAATAATTTTAGGGGCTACATGCTCGTTGGTCTGCTACCATTGGCCTTTGGAGAGCTAGGCGCATGGAGCTTTGGGAAGCTTTATTCACCCTACAAATCCAGTACGAAATGCAAGTAGAAAGGCTTTTGTACACCGTTTCTATTGTTATGCTGTGCTTCAGAATTGTAGTCAGAGGTTGAATTTTATTATTTATTCGAGACGGTGTGTGTGTATGGAAACCGCAGAAAACACAATCATTGGTGAAAAGAAAATGGCAAAACAATACGCTGAAGAGCATCTCGTGCCATTTTTCCAAAGCAATAAAAATAATGTATTTGACTGACATCCGCAACAAGGGCTTGTTTTACTTATCACGTGGTAAGCTTTTCATCCAATGGAGATGCGCCATTCCATGTCTTGGTCCGTTGCGTCAATGCAGCTGTGGATGTAACCTGGTGTCCTACTCTGGACTTGGGTCTTTGAAACAGAATTCTCCGTCCGAATGGTGAGCGTGATATGACCACCTCCTTGGTCTTGAATCCTCGCTGGGCGGACACGGTTATGTTTGTGTATGAAAACAACTTGGATGAGCTGAACAAGAACATGGAGGGTCTGGTTGGTAGCGGAAATTTCGCGGCCAACCAGTGCAGGAATCTGATGGCCCACTCCGCTCTGGGGGGTCACCCCTCTAGCCTGGTGCACAGCTCCGGCTACTCCGCGGTGGATGTATCGGGCTCAAGCTCCGGGGAACCAGGCAAACAGTGCACACCATGCCCCGCGGTCCCTCAAGGCTCCTCCACAGGTCCATTACCCTATGGGTACTTTGGCAACGGCTATTATCCCTGCAGAATGGGGCGGGGTTCGCTCAAGTCCTGCACCCAGCCCAGCGCGCTCAGCTACTCTGCGGAAAAATACATGGACACCCCGGTCACGTCTGAAGAATACCCGAGCCGGGCTAAAGAATTCGCGTTTTACCACGGATACCCAAGTCCCTACCAGTCCATGGCAAGCTACCTGGACGTGTCGGTGGTGCAGACTCTCGGGACAGGAGAGCCCCGTCACGACACGCTGCTTCCAATGGACAGCTATCAGCCGTGGGCACTGACGAATGGCTGGGGCGGCCAGATGTACTGCTCCAAGGACCAGAGTCAAGCCGGACACCTTTGGAAATCTGCGTTGGCAGGTAAAAACATATGTTCTGCACACTGTCTTAGTACATTATTAGACTACTGTAATGGGACACATTGTGACACGGGTTGGATAACCTATATGAGGCTAAATTAATTCAGGGGTTTTCTAATGCATGATTACGCAATTTAATTACCCTTCATTTTGTGCATTAATCGCAAGCCATCGAATAAATTACGATTTTCAATCCCTTATTCTATCGAATGTTTGGGCTGAATATTGGATTTTAATATGTGTCTCGGTATAGGCACGCACGTTCATATGAGCGACCATTTTGGTCGTTGTAGTCTTCACCGTTTTCTGAGTTTATGAATACCTCATTGTAGTGTTAATGCTTCAATATGTAGGCAGATATACACTGCCGTTTCTCAAAAACTTAGCATGGGTTATCCCTTGCAATGAGAAAGACTGAATTATATAATTAAATGCAAATTTTTTAGACTCCAGTTTCTCTTTGTTGTCCATTACAGATGTAGTGGCCCACCAACACGATGGCAACTCCTTTCGTCGCGGTAGAAAGAAAAGGATACCGTACACCAAGGTGCAGCTAAAGGAACTGGAAAAAGAGTATGCCGCCAACAAATTCATCACGAAAGATAAGAGGAGAAAGATTTCAGCAGGAACCAACTTGTCGGAAAGGCAGATTACGATCTGGTTTCAAAACAGGAGAGTTAAAGAGAAGAAGTTCGTGGCCAAAGTCAAGACCAGTGCGCCGTAGACAGCCAGGCTTGAGCAAGACGATTTGGACGAGGGACATTGTTTTTGGTGTATGAACAAAAAATGAAGGAAAGAAAACGTCGACGTGGTACCTTTTTTGGATTGGGATTTGGTGTGCTATTTTGCCTGCGCAATTGCATCGCCGATTCGTCTTTTGAAAAGAAGAAATAAAACAAGAACCAAGCCCTCTAAAGACAATGTTTTAGGGGCCTGTAAATACAGCACTTGCCTGCTTTAATGTAACACTTACGTCTGCTTAACTGTTTAACTCGTGCTATACATGGAGGTATATATAGGCTATATGTTAGGTATGTCAATGTTGTTACTGCAGTAGAATAGGAAACGTATTATGCAATCATATTCCCAATCTATACTGTTTATAACGCTTGTAAAACAGTACTTATAAAAATATAGCGTAATGCTTAATAAATTGTTTTAATCCCAGTATGTTGTATAAATTAAATTTTACTTCGTGGAATATATGTGTTATATATGTGATTCTGTTTGCAAACCCTGTTAATATAGAGATAGTTAAAGATAAAATAGAATGACGATTGGAAAAAGTACATAACAGGGAAGGTCTAAGACCCAGAAATGGAGTTCAGAAATTCTAGTGCAATGGAAAGTTGCATTCAAACGGTTTATAGTATATTTGAAATATGAATTTTATGCATTAAGTTGCTGATGCATTTGACATATTATGCTCCATCATGAAAGCTGCATCAAAACGTTTATAAATACAACTTTTAAAGTGTCCATACCCTTAACAAATAATCTCATGCTTTTCCTGCCAAATAACAGTCTTTTCGGGGCTCATGATTTTGGTGATGGGTAAAAGCTGCTTTGCCAATTGTGCCAAATATATTATTTAATATACTTTGAAAGTTGAAGGCCTGCAAACACAGCCATATTTGAAATGGCGAGCTATATAATGTGTTGTGTGTTATTACTTAGCCTTTCTTGTACCACCTACTGATGCTCTTTTTACTGCGTTATTCATATTCTTGGAACCGTTGGAAGTTTACGCAGGCCTAGTCCTATAGGCTACTTCAAAATATATATGAATGGCTTAGACAATATTTTGTTCATTGGTAGGCTTATTTAATTTTTAAATTAACACAATTACTAGCCTATTCAAAACGTAATCAGTCAAATACGGCTACAAAGGTTAAACTGACTTCAGATATAGGCCTTTATATGTAAACTAAAACAAATGAAATTCACTTAAAGCGTCAATAAATTAGTTGCATATTCAATATTGGTTGTTAGTCTATATATCCTGTTCTAGGTGGATACGAGGAATGTGTTGATGTTCTAGAAGCAAAAAGAGCATGAGGCAACTGTAGACTTCCTTAATCCGTCCTTGACCTTGACCTTGAGTGTCACGTGCTCAAAATATCAGCAATAACTTTTGTTTCACGCTAATCATGAATATTTATACGGAGAACGGGGTGTTTCTATGTCCCTATGAATAGCCTATAGACACCGTTAGGCTAGATCTGATTATCTTTAGATGTCCATATCTCGGATGTACAGTAAATCTCAAAACGTAAACAATATTTTGTGTCATTCTTGTTATGGAAAAGGCTCTCAAAGTAGCTTCTAGCTTTGGTGCCCCCACACATGCTTCTCTTCGTGTTGAGAGGACCTCATAGAGGCTATCCTCCTGCGTAACTGTATGAAATATTATTCTCCAAATGTTCGCTCGTTTGGATAAGCAGATTTACGCACTATAATCTTTTTTACAGTCTTTTGAGACGTGATTTATGTATCTGTCCGGTTCCGAACAGTTTAATTGTTGGATAGTGAGCAGAGCTAAGGCGCGCTCCGGCTGCATACTGCACTTAACGCCGGTCTAGATTAGTCAGGGTGTAAAAGGTGCGTCGTTATTCAAAGGCTTTACATCATCACCTTTGCATCGTCCTGTTGCTTTCTTTTTGCTGTGCTCTGTTTTAAAGTCATTCAACACACCACATAGGCATGTATTTCTCTCCTTGGTGAAATATAGACACTTTTGGGGAATGTTGCCAATGGAAAAATTTTGCACAGCGACATTTCTGATGAAAACATACACTACCGACGCATTGATGAAGACGTAGGCGTACCATAATAAGTGCCATATGTAGCCTAAGCAACGCTCAGACAGCCAGCATAGTCATGTAATAATAATAAACTACTACTAGCCACATAGTCAGAACAGTGTTCATATTCAGAATGTAGGTTATTTCACTTTACCATTGATAAATTACGCTCTAACCTGGATTGGAGAAGTTTGCGCTAGGTATGGATTCTGACAGAATTTGAGAGGAATGATATCAAAGCCCATTCAACACTGTAGCTCATGATGCCAACGCTTCAGGTCATACATTTCTTCTGCAGCTTTATGCATAGAGAGAGAGACGTTTGGAAACCCGTCTGAGTTTTTTAGTATTCCAACCCAAACCCATATATTTTATGATATTATCCTGGTGCTACTCTCAGACCAGACATAATTTGACATACGAGACCAAAATGAGACGATAAAAACATGTGGAGCTATTAGATCTCACAGGCCTATTTCAACACAGCCTAAGGCGCTTGTATCACTTTTTTGCTGGTATAGAAACACATGGGCCTGAGTGTGCAGCTTTATGTGCCCCATAGCATTTCTATTCAGGTAAGGCTCAGTAAATAGCAATGCCTGTCATTTGAAACCTAATTTGTAATGTTGTTATTTCAGTTCCATTGTTTCAAGTACAATTGCATGATGTATTTTCCCTCAGTATATCTTATTACGTTTGGGCATTAGACTAAATGATTATAAACATGGCCTATAGCCAATTCATGGAGATTTTGAATGGGCTAGTCATTTCTCAGTCCAGATTTCACGGCATGTGCAGTGCTGCTTTTCAGACCAGGCTAGACGTGTCTTGCACCTAACTGTGCTAGGCAATAAATGCTGAATACCCTTCCTTCCACCGCTGGTTAACATTGAACTTGACAAAAGCATTCTAACAAACGGCGCGTCTGCTTTGTGTTTACGTTGTGTTTTAATGGTAGTTCCTTCTCCCCCTTTAGAAAACGCACAATGTGAGCATCAAGCACGGAAGTAGCTTTCCACCAGCAATACAATAAAGCTGCAAGTTTCCCTTATTTGAAATACCAGACCCTATCATTAATTGTTTTACTCTTGACTAGTCAATTGTAATTGGTCGATATTTTATCAGTGTATAGGACATTTAGCCATTTCCCATTTCATATGGCCCACAGTCACTTCAAGGCCTTTAACGTGCATCTGGGCCTATCCCATTCTGGAGTGACGGATGATTGATGCTGTAGCCTATAGTGCTGCAGTCTTCACTGTGATCGTAATTTTGCTTTTGTCAATTTAAGATATTCTCACAACTCAAACGCTCAGGGACTTGAGTGTGCTTGATACCCAACTGCCAATTCAATATTAGGGTTAGGAGTATAGCCTATAGCTTTGCTCACTATTCACGGAGGTGTAACTTTAAATGTAACCACAAAGAACAGCATGTCGTTGCTTTTTGAAGTAGGCCTACACATCTAACAACAGATCTTATCATCATCACACAGCATTCCAACTCTGAAGAAAGAATGGGCCATCAGGCTATGTCAGATATTGGCTATACATTTGCTTTAATATCATAGTTAGGCCTACTTTACTTTATTAGATTTATTTGACAGGGACAATGTTTATGTCTGTGAAACTTGACGGGTATATGGAAGAAACATTTAAAATATATATATTTTCCATTTTAGTATTTTCTCTGAAAATGAAAATATGAATTACTGCGATAGGAAAGTTACACCAAGTTAAATGGGGTAACGTAGTTTAATAATTGTTAACCTATTGAATAAGCTTAATTCTATTAAATGTTTTTGGACATGGTAACATTAGGCTTATTCTAGATTTGAGACATTCGGCCACTCAGGCTAATCTTTGAACCACATCAGTGTGCTTTCAAATACGTTTTTTTTTTAAACAAGGTAGATTGCTAATCTGTCAATCTGTTGATGTTAAAATATGAATATTTAGACATTGCTTTTGGTGGCTTGCTTGAAGACAAGAAGGAGAGTCGAAGCTCTGTCAGGCGATGACTTCCATGTCAATATGCCTCCAACTGGCCGTCCCAAGAGCATGCTTAATTTCAAGAATGCCAGACTCTTCTCTCTCAAGTTCACGTCCAGCCCCCCCACCTTTTACTACACTCTTTCCCTTTGCAGACTCCCCCTCCCCCTAGTCTGCATCGCGGACAGTCTTTTGTTACACGGTGGACTTTGCAGTTGAACTTGAGACATCTTGTAAACAATATGTAGTCTGGCCCTTGTCTGGACAGAGGTGGTCAATGGACCTGAGGCTCAAAACTTATCCGCTGCATGCAGGAGGAAGAGGAAGTGACTCTACACACCAGGCCTCCAACGATGCACCTAGAGATAGTGGTCAGCTTAGTCTGAGCTGTCTGAGCTGCAAGGTGACACATAGGCCTACATGAATGAATGAATTGAGAATAAGACCTGCATCCCCATATAAGCATTGACGATATCTATTTACAATATTTTCAAAGATAAACAATAGATACATGTAAGAAGATATTATGGGTAAAGCTCATGGATAAAAATCACCACCTAAGGACACATTTAAAAAGGCACAACACTAATAGCCTAGCAAACTGTAGCTGAGTTAGAATTTCCCCAAATGTGTGCTTTTATAAAGAGCCTATAGATTGTATAAACAAATTATGTTTCTTACAACCACATCAGCTGGTGCCAACACTATTCCAATAGGTTATGAACTTTTGGCGGTACACGTGCTAAAGCTTACTGCCCATACAAGTGGTCAAATGTGTTATTTTGAACGGCTCACTATAATATGGCTACACCAAATTTTAGGACTGAAAACTCGGAGGAAATAACTGAAATGTCTTTTGTTGTTGTTGAGCAAAACAAATTGTTGGCCTAGCTCTTGAGAAAGTCACATAGACCTATCGTTTTCAACAACTTTATCTGTTTACCCTATATGTATCCAACAGACTATTAATATTATTATTATTAGGCATGTTAGCTCTGTAATAACTATTTAAAAATAAAAAGCTAACAAGTTTAGGGCTATTCTAATGTTTTATGTTAGGTCTGAATCTTGAATTAATTATCTGCAATTAACAGTGATAAATGCATCCAAGAACTGTTTAAAAAATACTTTATATATTTATTATGTCGCATACGCACAACACTGCAGGTGTCCAATATTTATGGCTACAAACTTTTTGAATGTACATTTTACCATTAAGCTACCAAACTCCTAGCCAATAGCTGGATATAATAGCTGGATACTTACTGACATTACACTGAGAAAGAAGAGTCATTAAGATTAATTGATAAGGCCGTCAATCATGTCAGGTATGTATTCGTATGCCATTATGTACCTTTCTTGTATAGTGTCAT